GATGAACACAACAACAGCGCACATCATGACCCAGCTCTTTTCCACTATATTGATAGGGTATTATAAAGAGATGTAATTACAAAGCGTCTCTCTCTCTTTCCCCTCCACTTCCTCTCTCTCCTTTGCGCTCTCTCTCTCTCTGCAGTGCAGCACTCAGTGACAGCCTTGCCTATCAGTGCACTCAGATCTATGAGGCATGGAAAGTGCTAGCGTGATGCTAGCTCTGCCATACTCACTTAAAACATTATGAGTGGCCCACACCCGTAGCTTCTTTCCAACCCCATCCCATCTTCTTCCTGCAGAGTAGCCACTTACTTAGCCCCCTGCCACCACACCACACCTCAATCTGACAAATAACCTGCTCATGGAAAACCAAAGGGTACACCGTACTGCTAAAAAAAACATATGGCGCTGCCAATTGCACTGTTCAGGCCAAATGGAATGGAAAGTTCTTATGACAAGCAATCAGCCATAAGTAAGCTTGCTCAAGGCTTACCTGAGCTCCCTGGAGGCTTCGTGGGTCCGTCTCCGACCCCCTGACCCCGACAGATTCGGCAGGATGCGGAACTAATTGAAGTCATTTTCTCATATCAGCCTTGTTCAGTCGGTCCATGACTCAGTCTATTTACGGCCTGACCGTTCTGGATTCAGCACATTCTAAATATAATGCTGCAATTCGCGGGGAGGGCCGTGAAGGTTGCGTCGCAGGGAAAACGGCACAAAATTGCATATTCAAGGCAAATAATGAGATCTTGGGCTATATTTGTTATAAGTGCCAGTGGGCATTTTTCAGAATAGGACAAGTTAATTATGACATGCATAGGTGATGAGTATCAGGCTTTGAGAAAATTGTTGATGCAGTCACACTCTGGGATGGATTAAATCCTTTAGCCTGGAAAAAAAGGAATAATACAAAAAGCATTGGCGAGTTGAGTAAGACAAGCAGCTATTGGTAGATTTGCCTGTTGTGCACCTACAATTGGGTATGTGATTGGTTATCCTTGTGAATATAATATTCTCTGAGAAAATACTGTATGGCTCTCAATTGATTAGTTACCGACAAACAAATTCAAGTTAGATTGATAAAGTAATTTGATTAGTCTGCAATATTGTCTTCTTTGACATCAGCAGCATAAATGTTTAATATGGATATGAACATTGCCTGTTCTTGAATGCTTAAACGAGCCTTACTATCCACCCCCATTAACAGATTAAAAGCTTTACAACGTCGCTCCTACTCTCCCTCTCCAGCCCCATCGCTCTCTCCCTCTCTTTCTCTCTCCCTCTCTCTCTCTCTCTCGTTAAGTGAGCAAGAACAGAGAGTAGTTCCTTCGGGGAACAGGCAGGAAGGAGCATCTTAAAACTAAACCTCTCCAGAGAGACGATGGAGATGGGGAGAGAGAGCGGGAGAGAGCGAGAGAGAAGGAAAGAGAAAGAGACAGATAGGATGAGGATGGGGGATGTACTTCTGTTTTATATGGCCTCTTTATTAAACGATAAAGCCAGCAGGCCTGCCTCCTGGTAAAAGGGAGACAGCTCACAATTATGGAGAGATTGAAGAACACAGAAGAGGGCGTAAGAAATGGAATTAAGAAACCAAAACTAGAGGGGAGAAGGAGACAGAGAGGGAGAGATAAATAGGGAGGGAGAGCGGAGGGCAGACAGTGAGTGGTGGATTTTTCAGGCTGTCACACAGTAGTGAATGCACATTAACACAAAACCCAAAATGTTTGGCCGGTGTGTAAAAGTCTCTCCCGAATGTAGTACCCATCCTAAGTGGCTGGTGGCTTCTCTGGGAGAGAAGCGCAGAAGGCAGGGGCGCCATCAGTTCGACTCCACTGACTCTGCATGGTCCTGCGGTGGAGGAGGTGGAGGGGAACTTGCTCAGTGAGAGAGGATAGGACCTGTAATCTCATCAGCAGTGTTGTGATTGAACACGGTGGGACAGAGAGCAATCTGATTAATAAATAAATGGGCTCTGTGTGGCTCCCATATGTCAGAGAGAGAGACTCCACTGGCATGACTGCTGCCCTTATCAGAGCTGATGCTTTGATTGGGTGCGATGCAATTAGAACGCTGACACACCCTGGGGAACGCACAAAGAGTGCACTCATGCCACACAAGCATGCACACACACACACACACACTATGTGTAACAGATACTCTACGGGCACAGCCTTGACATTAAGCTTGTTCAGGGTGTATATGCTTACGCATCAGAAAGCGGAGTGTATGTTTAGAATATAAAAGCCACATGCACACTCACGCGTTCACTTTCTCACAAAAAACACCGAGAAAGTCACGTCAGACTCATTGTTTCTTCTTTTATTTCAGATGGAACATTATTATGGTACACAGCAACAGTGATTTCACCCTTTTATTTATTTATTTATTTTTTTAATACACCTGATAGGAAACAGAACACGGACCAGAACCTGAATACCAAGAGGAATGTGAGGAGAGTGGAGGCTGAGAGGAGCGAAGGAGCTCCAGAGTCCATAAAGGTTCCCCAGGCCAGGTGGGCAGACAGTGTCCCGAGCAGATGTTACTCTTTCACACTGATTTAAGACCAGCACTTTCTACCCATATTCAACAATAAGGGAACATTCTGTCCAAACAGCGATAATGACTAATTGTGCTTTAGTGTCTATTTCTAGCCAACAATATTGCCTGGATTAAGAGTCATGTCTGTGGGATCAGCTCTCCCATTTGCAGCACTCACGACAACTGAGACTTGCCCAAAGTAATAGTGAATGAAAGCCAGTGTTGCCAGTTAACACTGGCAATGTGAGCTTACGTTTCTTTTAGAGGTTGGACTTTGAACTTTATGGAAGCAAAGTGGTCTCACCTGATCTCAGAGCAACATGAAAGAGTAACTTCGGCGGGGAACAGGTACACCTGGGGGTGTAGGATAGCGAGTATGTACAGAGAGTGTAGAGAGTGGTTACAGTAGTGGTGTGGTGTGGTATAGCAGGGGTACGGTATTGGTTTAGAGTGGATACAGTGGAGGTGCATGGAGGGTAGCACAGACAGTGGGTGCAGTGTTGAAGTGGCTTTTAAATTGGTACAGTACGGGTGTGGGTTTAGAGTTGGTACAGTACACTCTTAAAAAAGACGGTTCTTCAGGGGCTTTTTAGTAAAGAAAATGGTTCTACGTAGAACCATAAACCCTCAAAGAACCCTTTGCATAATTAAAGGGTTTTTGCATCATGAAAGGGTCCTTCAGATTGTGCTAGAGATGGTTCTACATCGAACCTTTTTGAAAAGGGTTCTATATGGCACCCAAAAGGGATTTGCTGTTGTTACAAGCTTAATATCGTATGAATAGAAGAACACTTTTGGGTGCAATATTGAACCATTTTCAAAAAGGTTCTATATAGAATCATCTATAACACATTCTCCATCAATCTGAAGAATGATGCAAAGAACCCTTTAATCATGCAAAGGGTTCTCTGAGTGTTCATGGTTCTATATGGAACCATGTTCTTTAATAAAGAACCCTTTAAGAACCATCTTATTCAGTGTTGGGATGATTTAGAGTACAGTAGGGATGTGGGTTTAGATAGGTACAGTAGAAATGATAATCTAGAGTGGGTACAGTTGGGATGTAAGTCTAGAGTGGGTACAATAGGGATGTGAGTATCGAGAGGAAACAGGGATATGGGTACAGTAAGAGCTTGGGTTAAGCAGAGAGCAGGTACAGTAGAAGATCGGACTTGACTGATAGTGGGTACAGTTGGAATGTCAAGTTGATTGAGAGAGGGTACAGTGGGATCGTGGGGCTGACTGAGGGGATACAGTAGGTGAGGTTGACAGAGCAGGAGTTTGAACTTGACTGATGGTATAGGGTACAGAGGGGTGTGAGAATGACTGAGAGTAGGGTATGGAATAAAACTGTGTAAGGTAGGGTTAAGAATAGAGAGTGGGTTACAAACGGGGTGTTGAGTGGGTGTAGAGTGGGTACAGTAAGGATTTGAAGTTGATGAAAGCAAGTACCATAGGAGTGTGGGATGAGATATAGGTATAATATGGGCAAGGATGTAGAGTGTAGAGGTGTGGGTAGAGAACATTTATAGTTGGGATATGGGTAGACAGTGGGTACAGTTGGATATCAGATAGAGAATTGGTTCAGTTGGGGTATGAGGATGGTCAATGGAGGGGAGTTTAGAGGCACATCCAACACAGTGTGGAGAGACATGCATGGGTCAAGGCAGCCTGACCTTTCCCACTTCCTCACTCACAGACATGGGAACCATCTCTAGGAAAATGAGCATCTTTTGTGTGCTATTGTTTTTTCTGCATTTTAATTCCGTACTTTTGGTCCATCCTGTAAATAGGAACATCCTCTGCGTCACATCACAAAATGACCACGGCAACTGACGATGCACTGGGAAATGGCCGTGCGCTGCACTTTACAGCTGTCCTTCGTCTGCAGATGTGTGCACAGTCAACAGTGGAGCATGAGTGGTAAGGTCCAGTGTCAACACACACACACAAACACACGCACACAGAAAGACAAACAAGAAAAGAGACATAAAAGAAACAAAGAGAAACAAAGGAACTAGATATACACTGTTCAAAGTTACGCAAAAGTTCACGTAGACTCCAGCGAACAAAGAAAATAAGACAGTCCAATGCCGCGAGGCCTCATGTAGTAAAAAATAAAGCTTTTGTCATTAATAAATAAAGAACGTAATCTAAGTGCACTCAACTAAAGGGAGCTTAAATATGGCCTCTGAGTTTTGGCTTCTTTTGGAGAGTTCTTCATTAGGAAAACATTAGCGGGTGCTAATTATGATAATGTAATTTGAGGGGGGGGGCGGTGTGGAGTGTGGGGTGGAACGGGGAGCCGCACAGTCCACTGAGCACACGGCACAGGACTAACTACCGCTGGAGGACAGAGAAGAGAGAGAGAGAGAGAGAAAAGAAAGGGAGAGGGAGCCTCAGTGTAAGGGTGATATGGAAGAGTTTATCTAAGCGAGACAAAACAAAAGAGATGAGAGTGAGCCAAACATCTAAAAGCTGTAGACAGTGCCTGAAAGAGGTACAGTGTATATGAGGGAGTGAGTGAGTGAGCATGTCGGAGAGAAGGGCAAACCTCGGGGCTCATAGTAGCATTAGTGATGTAGTCAGCCAGTCCTGATTTATTTTGCAGGCTGTAGGCTCCACTACTGAAGCTCATTTCAGTGCTGCTGATGCACAGTCTATCTCTCTCTCCCTCACTGACTTTTTTCCCCCCGAATCTTTCACATGCAATCTCTTCCTCTCTCTTAGAACTCCTAATCCTCTCCCAAGCTTTCTGCCTCTCTCTCTCTCCCTCTCTCTCTCTCTCTGATGCAAACTCATGCTCCTCACTCTCTCTTCTCCAAGTCCCTCCCTTTGCCTCGTTGTTTTTTTTATCTCTCCTCTGTTCTCTTGCTCCAGTCTGCATCTGTTTCCCTCTCTTCGTTGGCGCTGAACCCTCAGAGGCCCCATGCACGCACGTACCCATAGATGGATGCCCGATCTCAGGGACGAGGGGCTAATATTAAATAAAGCTCGGGATGGGTCCAGACACTGTTGTAATGCCATCCACGCAAATAAACATGCACTGGGAGACGGCAGAGAAGGCATTTAGTCTCTCTCTCTCTCTCTCTCTCTCTCTCTCTCTCTCTCTCTCATTCACCACACCTCTTTCTCCATCTCTATCCCTCTCTCGTTGGAGACGCCTTGCAATGTGTCTTTATTTAATGCATGGCTTATTTGTTTATTTATCCGAAACGTATTCATGTAAGCCACAGACCCTCTTGTCCTCCGACATCGGCCTTCTTTCACCGCCCCACGCTCGTTCCGATGACAAAGCGGGGCCGAGAAACAATTAAAAAATAACAACAGTCATCATAGAGGCTGACCAGCGTTTTCAGACGGACGTGTCAATCTCCGCTGCCCCAAACGCGCCTTTTCTTAATTAAGGGCCGTCGACGGGACAGGGCAACAAGCAGAACGGCCACTTCAATCAAAGCCCTGCCTGCGCTGTTCCCCCGGCCGCATAATAGATCCATTTGGGCGGCTCATTGTTGAGACGTGTATGCGGTGTAATGCCAGGCGCTTCTTCTCAATAGAAGATGGGCAGGAGCACAGAGAGAATAGTGTATGACCTCTTTACCTTGCATTAGATTCCTCTGAGCTTCTAGAATAGTGGCTGGTAGAGGATGGGGGGTGGGGTGGGGGGGTGAGTGGAGGGGGGCTTTAATAACCCTCCTACGTTAAACCCCCTCTGGAAGGAAGCAAAGATGCTTTCGCTTCCTCAGACATACAAGAAGAGAAGGAATGAAGAAGAGGAGGAGGGTGGTGGAGAGGGGAGTTTAGAGAGAGAAGGCAAAAAACATTAGTGTCAGCAATAGATTTATAAGACATAGGAAAACTGAAAGAGCATGAGATGTTCAACTGTATGTTTGTGCTGGAGGGGCTCTCCTCGCTTTTTTTCTCTCTTCTCGCTCTCTCTCTTCCTACACCTCCCTTGTTCCATTTCTCCTCCCCATCAGAAGCAATTCGCCCCCCCCCCTCCCCTTCACCAGAACGTGCAACAAGATAAACAGTTTGCGTTGTAAGCCATTATCTCGGCGAAAACGGAAAGCGAAGGCATGAAGCACGGAGCGACAGGCGGCTGGCAAATAACTTCCCTCTCGCTCTCCCACCCGCAGGTTCCAAAAAACCCAGACTGGACCCCCCCCTCCAAACACCTGCTGTGCACTCACTTCTTCGTTGACTTATTTATTTATTTATTTACTACGCACGTGTTTATTTATTTATTTCGACTTTATTACTCATATTGTTCGGGTGGTGGTGTGGTGTTTTTTTGTTGTTTTTTTTTTTCGTTATTTATGCCCCTGGTTAGAGTCCACAGCCTGTGCTGACTCTAAAAATTAAAGCACATCGCAGATAGAGCAATAAAGGAAAAGCGCTTGCATCTGCACCGAGGGAGGGTCATGGTGTTTGTGTGCGCGTGTGTGTGTGTGTGTGTGTGTGTGTGTGTGTGTGTATGCGTGTGGAAACCTGACTTGAGACAAAGAGGTACGAGAGATGAAAGACGCACAAATCTATACTCTACGAGTTTTCCTCTGATGTTGACAAAGCGCAAACATCCTGCACACGCACACGCGCACACATATACACACTCATATAAGCTTCAGCAACAAGGAAATGCAAAATAAGTCCGAAAAGGGGAAGAAAAAAGAGAAAGCTGTGCACTCATAGATATGTCATTTGAGGAAAGCAATGTAGCAAATCCTGCCGAATTGACTGACGCTTAGCCAACATCAGCAGTGCGTTTGAAGCAGAGATGAATGACACAATAGATACATTATACTACTGATTCACTGATTCACTCAATTACAGTCCAATTCTATTCAGTCCAATGAGTCATGAGTCGAGAGTCGCGAATCGCGACCCGCGGTTCAAACGAATCAGATTCACAGAGCGATTCCAGAGCAGCAACTATACACGGCTCTCTTCGCGAGGAGGAGCAACTAAGAGTGAAAGAAAGGACGGCGGATGGAGAGGGCTTTCTTGTCCTCCTCTTCTCTTCTCTTTCTTTTCTTCTCATCTCATCCCACTCTTTCTTCTTTCTTTCGTTCTCTCCATCCCTCGGTATAAAGTCTTATGTATATATATATATTTATAAGAGTCTGGGTGTGAGTGGTTATTTGAGGACAGTATATGTAAGAAGTGTATGTGTGTTTATGTATACGTATGAGTGTGTGCATGTGTGTGTGTATGTGTGTGTGTGTGTGGTTTCTACCCCCAGCTGAGGGTAGTTAGTAGCAGCAGTAGCAGCATTAGCATTAGCATTGGGCCAGGGGTGCTACAGGCCCGGCTTTGAACTCTGCCCGTCTCTGTGCCTCCCAGGTTAGTGACCGTTGCCTTGTCCAGAAACGGGGGGATGACATTGAACTCCTCCGCTGCTTCCATTTCTTCCTCTTCCTCCTCCTCTTCCTGCTTTTCCTCCTCACTCTCCTCCACCTGGCACAGAGAAAAAGGGTGTAAATCAGATGCATAGCTACAGTAGGGGGCCAGGGGGGTCTCAGCCTACCACTTGGCAGTTTTAAACCAACTCTACAATAAATCACAGAATTAATTTTTTCTCAATACCAACATGTAAACGAAGCCTGTTTGACTGTTTCTGCAGAGAACAGAATGGAATATTTTTATTGTCATTGCACAAGTGCAAGAAGATTGAGTTAGCAACTTCCCAACTAGATGCTACAAGAAGTAATAAATAAGAAATACAAAAGCAATTAAGTAAAATGGGGATTTAGCTGAGCTGTGCTACTTCCAAGCATAAGCTACAGTGTAGCATAAGGAGTAAAGTTAAGCAGTAAGCAGTAATCAAGTTGACAGTTGACAATATGGCCAAAAGTATGTGGACACCTGATCATCACACCTATATGAGCTTGTTGGACATCCTACTCCAAAATCATGTTCATTAATAAGGAGTTGCTCCCCCTTTGGGGTAGAACAGCCACAATATTTTGGAGTGTATCTCTGGGCATTTGTTCCCATTAGTCAAAAGAGCATTTTTGAAGTCAGGCGTTGATGTTGGGCAGGAAGACCTGGCTCACAACTGACCATTCCAGTTCATCAAAGATGTTCAGTAGGGCTGGGCTCAGTATAGGCCACTGCAGTTCCTCCACACCAAACTCATCAAACCATATCTTTATGGACCTTGCTTTGTGCACAGGGGCACAGTCATGCTGTGTCTTCCCTAAACTGCAGCCACAAACTTGAAAGCATACAATTGTCTTACATGTCTTTGTATGCTATCCCATTATCATTACCCTTCACCCCAACTTTACTATAGCACTACAGTTAACCAGGGGAGATCTAGCGGGGCAGAAATTGAACAACCTGACTAGTGGCAAAGGTGACATCTTATGACATCTAGTGCCATGTTTAAAGTTCCTGAGCGCTTCAGTATGATCCATTCTACTGCCAGTGTTTGTCTATGGCGATTGCATGGCTATGTGCTTGATTTTATACACCTGTTAGCAATGGGTGTTTCTGAAACAACTGAACTCAATAATTAGGAGGGATGTCATTTGGCCATATTTAATACTGTGAAGAGAAAATAATGAGATGAAGAGAAAATCAACCACACGCCCCAGACCTCTTTTCTAGCACCGGAAAAAGGACTCAGTGCTGTAAGTTGTTATAGCATCTGTAGCAGTTGAACTTGAGGCGAGCAATTGTGTGTTGTGTTTATTTTTTTTTCTCTGGTTATGGTGCATACAATGAAGTAGGTTAGTGGGCTAGTTGGTGGTTGTCAGCTTCACTACAACGAGGTCTCTGGTACATGTGGGTACATGTGGTAGTTTCCCGGTAGTTTCGTAGCCAGCTCCCTCAAACTGTAACCAGCCCCCACCTGAAATTAATTTATGGCTGTGCCTCCAGTGTGAATAAATAAATTAAATGACTAAATATCTACAGTAGAAAAGTTGAGAGAATGATAGACAGAGGTGAGAAAACAGTAAGCGGGGTGGCAAGGATGACATGAAGTGAGCAAAACCTGCGCAAAAAGAAAGAAAGATGGAGCGCAAAGTGAGGGAGGCTGAGAGACATTGAGAAGGAGAGAGAGAGAGAGAGAGAGAGAGAGAGTTCGCATTCGCGGAAGAGCGAGAAAGAGGCAGACAGAGCAAGCAAGACAGTGAGTGTGTGACAGAGACAAGGATTAGGAAATAGCGATAACAGGAGAGAGAGAGAGAGAGAGAGAGAGAGAGAGAGAGAGAAAGAGAGAGAGAGACAGATGGGCATGAATAAATTAATACTAATGAAGTCTGATTGATGCACTGCCTCCTGCAAACACCTTTGGCTAATCCTTTCACAGAGATAGAGAGAGAGAGGGAGAGTGAGAGAGAGTGAGAAAGAGAGAGACAGAGAGAGAGAGAGAGCACTAGAAAGAGGGAGAGGCCATAAAGAATGAGAAAGAAAGATAGATTGAGCGCAAGAGATCAAGAAAGACAGAGGGGCGTTTGGTGAAGAGAGAGATTTGGCTGAAAAAGAGCGAGAGTGTGAGGTAGAAGTGACAGCAGAAACAGAATTGAATCCTTTTTGTCTGGAGGCCCAGATTATCTCTAAGCTTCTGCGCTCTGTGTACACACACACACACACACACACACACTTGGACCCACACACGGTCCAGAGTGCACACGCACTCTCGCACGCCTGTACACACTCTCACACACTGATCAAAGCCGCATAAACCGCACACTGATAAACAGTGTCAGGATGCCTATGGATATATATGGATCATTTGATGTCCTTCTGTACTCACAGTGCAGGGACGTTAAACTTCCAAAGCTGACCATACTGAAAACATCATGAGCCACACAAGTATTCTCTAATAGCAATGAATATCTTAGCTGGATCGGATTTGGCCCTGTATATTCCAGCGTGTGTTCCTATGAAAATACGTTTGTTTTGATATGCTATTCAAATATATTTACATAATAGCATGTATAATCACATAGCATATTATGGAATTAATTACATTTATATTTATGTGGAATTATAATTTCTCAATGTAATTAAATGGTAGAGATGTAAACAGAGTCATTCAGTTAGTGGTTTGATTGTGAAATGGTTCATTGTAGAGACACTTATGGACTCAGATTGCTTTACAGTGGTGGTGATAGGAACCAGGAGTCACAATGTCTACAACACAAATGCATCTAATTTCTATACCATTTAAAACTACCAGTGGACTTCTGAGATTTATATGCAATGTTAATAGTGGTAAAAAAAGGGACTATTTTGTCTTAAAACAGCCTGCATGTACCTCTCAAACATAGCTTTTAGGCCAAAAATTTATTCCCAAAACTATCGTAACCCAATGTCTCAGGTATTATGCAGCGTATTCATAAGCATTTCATGTAATAACTTTCTGTGAGGGAGCTTTTGAGAGCATTAATTATTCCAGAAATCTGGTTCCTGTGAACTATTCTAAGTTTCTCTAGAATGGAGCATTTCACATCAAACCACTCTGAATGAATTTGTTTATATCTTAACAATTTCATTATACAGAAATTTTGAATAATTGGTGGAATTCCCGTTTACACTCTCTAATCTCAGGTTTGAGTGTGTTTTTATTTTTTCCATGTCAAGAAATGAGGAAAAATGTGGCATAAACGTGAAGTATTATTTCCGTTTGGAAAGTATAGAATCTGTGCTTTTGACAGAAACAAGTGAGCTACAAGTGAGAAACAATTCATAAAAAATTTCCAAACTAATGTAAAGTGGTGGTTGGAAGGTGTGAACATGAGTGTGACGTTCATTATAAAAAGAATGGAAAAACCTACCAAGTAAACAGACTTTCAATTCAATGTGCACTCACACTGGCCACTTTATCAGAAACTCCTACATTGTAGCTGTAAGACTGTGCTGTAAGATTGTGAGACTGTAGCATCTGTCAGCAGCCAGGTGTGTTGGATCTCTTCAGAGTGCTTGATCACCAGACACAGGACTGGGCAATACATAATTTTATATACTTGTATTTCATTTATAAAACGTAAAAAATGAACATGAAACAATTTGGTATTTTTTCCTCTGTATAATGGACATAAAGGTCGGTGGAGCTCATAAAGTGGTCAATGAGTGGAAGTACAAGGTGGGTGTTTCTAATAAAGTGTCCAATGACAAAGTACATAGTAAGTGTTTCTAATAAAGTGGCCAGAGAGAGGAAGTACAACGTAGGTGTTTCTAATAAAGTGGCCAGTTAGAAGAAGTACATAATAGCTGTTTCCAATAAAGTGGCCAATGAGAAGAAGTACATAGTATGTGCTTCTAATAAAGTGGCCAGAGAGTGGAAGTATAAGGTAGGTGTTTCTAATAAAGTGGCCAGTTGAAAGAAGTACATAGTTGCTGTTTCTAATAAAGCGGCCAGTGACAAGAAGTACATAGTGTTTCTAATAAAGTGGCCAGTGAGAGAAGGTGCAAGAGAGGTGTTTGTTATAAAGTGGCCAGTGAGTGGAAGTACACAGTAATTGTTTCTAATAAAGCGGGCGGTGAGTAGAAGAACAAGATAGGTGTTTCTAACCAAGTGGACAGGGGGAGTACATTTAATTCACGTCTCTAATCTTAACTCCCTGAAGCTGAGATACACCTTTGGCTCCCCATACATCTTAGCAGTGAAGACTGAAAGATTTAGAAGTACATTCATTCTGTTCTAGTCTGCCTCAAATATGACTGCAAACGTGTTATGGTGTGTATAACATGGAAAACATGAATAAATTCAGCGAAAAACAGCCCACTTTCATCCACCCATAAGGATCTAGCTGTAGATACTATTAAAATGCAAGTTCATGAGTTGTGACAAGCTCATGACTAGATGTTCTAGCCACTGTGTGCTGGCACATGAGTCAGGCTGTGGATTAATGTAGGAAGACAGCCACAAGTTAAACATAAGAAAAGAATGTAGTGAAATGGACACAGATTGGGAGTTTAATCTAATAACACCGCTGCCGAGCTTTCGTCACGTCGATGAAACTTTGGCACTTGGCCATTATTTTAAAAACAAACTAATCCCTTATTCTGAGCCACAGTATAATCTGGGAACACAGCAAAGAGCACACCGGATCAATACTGATTTAATTTCTTACAAGAGTCATTAGCTTGAGGGATGGAGCGTTTAGTAATTGTTTTTAACTGAGCTTGAGGTGGCAGAACAGGCCATTTGAATGCGGATGCGTCCTTGCAGTGAGCAAAGTTCAGACCACAAATTCAGGCAGTTCTGACTTCTATTGTAGGATTTTTTTACCATTTGCTACAAATTATAAACAATAAAGGGCTCCATACTACATTTTTTCCATTTTATTTTTTTCTCCCTGAGGTCCATTTTAACAATTTGAATTGTTTTCATGTATCAAAAACATTATCATAATTTTGACATGACCATTTTCCAACCTTTCTGCGCCTTTAAGGCTGATTGGGAAGAACTGGGTACATTGAGCCAGTGGGTAAAATGAGCC